GATTATTTTTACAGAACTGAATACTTAAGGCTTTAATTTTATACTTATTGCTAGATCATTATATCTAATTATTTTGACCATTTAGTCAAATAATAAACCTCCAAGTCTGAATATTTATAGTGAAGAATGAGTTTGGAGAAAGGAAAATAATTATATGTCTCTTCCTCTGTTATTTTATTCTGCCTGCTATAGAGGATAAAAATACACATCTACGTCATTTGTTGTATCATATTCTTGGATCGTACAGATTTAGTTGAAATGTGCATACAGGTCAGCTGCTGTTAAAAGACTGAAGATAATCAAAGCTACAAATGAGGACAGATGAGCTGTACATTATGTGAGGATAAAACAGGTGTTTGGAAGATGAAGTGTTCTGAAGCAAACAAGATTTAAATACTTTTGCATCTCTAATTACTTTATCCTTATTATTAGGCAGGAAGCAAGTGGCTTTCAAATACAATCTAAACTTTCTACAATATACTTCAAATACCAAATATTGAGGAGCTCTAACTTTGTTTTTAAGTAAAATTAACTTTCTATTTGGTCAAAAATTGGTTTGAAAATTGTGTTTTCTGTTATATTTAAAAAATTCATGCCAGCCCTATCCTGGTGCCTCTGACAGCATCATCCAGTTGTAAATTACTTCCCACATGCTTTGCAGTCATACGAAGCTGGACAGTAGAGGGTGAGGGTACTAACATACTATCTGTTTTTGTTTCTAGGACGGTGAACTTTGACATAATAAAATACTTGTATGATTTCTTGTGAAAACAAGCTTCAAAGCCATATGGACACTGTGACAATGACTAAGCCAAGCTGTGTTCATCCAGCTACTTAGCTGGCCAGGGAAAGGAGTTCTTTGGCTCTATTGGATTTGTCCAAACAGGTGCTGGCCCAGCATGGAATCTGATGAAAATACTCTGATTGGTCTGGGTAGATGTGAGCAGAAGACTATTTACCAGGGGCCCGGGAGTATTTGGAAGCAATGTGTTAATTATAAACAGCAGGGTTTGCACACAATCTGTTCTACTCTTAATGATGTTATCTTAACACTGAAATTGCCTGAAACCCATTTACTTAGGACTGTGTTTTGCTCTATGAACTCTCCCCTGCGCTTTGAATGTGCCAGCAGCCCTGGTTTATATGCCCAGCCTTTCCACTTCCTCTCCACAGGAGCCCTTGCAGTGTCTTGCCAAAGCAGATTTCCTAAGGCCACTATTTTAAAAGATCATACTTGCAAAATGTATGTTGTTTTTTAAAACCTAAGCTGTATATGCTTATTTTTTTATCCTAATTTTCTCAAATACAAGACAGCTTGTTCTAATGTACACACACCAGCTTTCTGTCTAGCTCTGCTTGCTAACCTGACAGTGCTTATATAAGAAAGATTTATCTGGTCACTCTCCCAGTTAACCACCCCAGCTGACTTTTTACCAGCATATTGTTTTCCTTCCTTCCTTCTGTCCCTCTCCTTTCTTTCCTTTTCCTTTACTTTAAGTTGTTAGCTTTTGAAAGCTCTACAATAAAATCCTTCCTATTATATTAGTCCTGTGCTTTGGTTCTGACTGTCTTACTTGTTTATATTTTTAAAGTAGCTTTCTGTTACCGTTGAATACTTGAAAATGAGACAAGTTTAAAGTGCTTAATTATAATCTAGTTTAAGTTTCGGTGGCAGTTTACTCCATTCCATCTTTTGAAGAAAAATTCTCACAGTTGGCATTCCTAGGTAGGAAGCCTTTTTATGTAATGATTTTCTGACACTTTCTTGTTCAAAGAAAGCAAGTCGTTTCCCTCTCACTTTTATTTTGAGGTAAGGAGTAGAGAGAGGAGGAATGAAATTGCTTTTTGCCTTACGATGTAAGATGGAAACTCTTCAGTCAGAAGGTACTACCCACAGACAGCTGGTGAGGGTGCTTTGTCACCCTCTTCCAGGAAGTTGTTTCCCTGCTTCCAGGGTGTTAGGTGAAGGCAGGACCAGGGAAGAGCTGTGCACAGTACAGAGCCACGTGTGGGTTTCCAAATGCAGAGATCTGTGGAGAATAGACAGCCCTTAGGTAACCATTCAGAGCAATGCCCCCTGGGACAGGTGCTGAGTGACCTGTCATGATCACGTTGAAGTGTGAGGTAGAAACAGATACCAGAAAGGGGCACAATTGGCAGATAAGAAACTGAGGATAAGAAGAGACAGGGGCAGAGTTTCTGGTGGGAGACACCATTGCTCCTCATGGCAGCTGTCGCCTGTACAGCACATTTCTTGTCCTGAATCATCCCATGCCATATTATCAGCCCTAGAAGTAGCTTTCTCCACAATACTAAATTACATGTCCCTGCCCTGATTGGGCCTTCAGAAGTTTGCTATTTTGTAATTTACTTGCTAATAGCTTTGCTAAGTGAATCAGTAATGTGATCACTTTATTTAAATGAAGACTAATAGAGCTTAATACACATATTAGCATTTTAACAAGGGTCATCTGCAAATGAAATCGTCTGTTTGGAAGATATATTTCTCCAATTATAGGAAGAAATATAACAGTGAGAATTATGCTAGCTAGTTTTGTAAAGTGGTGTGCGAGAAGCCTTGGCGGACTTGAGCCAAGATGCCCTGCGGCAGGTCGCCAAGGAGGCATGCCATGTAGACATGGCTGGCGGCAGCCTAGCATGGTGGAAAGTTACTCACACTGTGCAGACATGGCATCCACATGGAAATTTTATTATTAAAGGTGGAGGGGAGAGGGAATAGAGAGAAGGAGAGAGAGAAAAAGGGAAAGAGGAAAAGCAGAGGTGTGCACAACCTTATGGTAAGAGGGAAGAAGGAAAAGGGGGGAGGGGTGATGACCTCAGGATGCTGGGCAGGTCCCCAAGGGGTGGTTTTGAATACTGACAGCTGGTAAGCCAGATACTTCTGTGAAGAATGGAGGCAACTTACGTTATACTGTCTACTCTACCTCGGTCTAGTCTAAAAGTATTATAAGTGGTACATGATGAAAGTTACTAAGCTGTAGGTTTTTAGGGTGTGTGTGTGTGTGTGTGTGTGTGTGTGTGTGTGTGTGTGTGTGTGTGTGTGTGTGTAAATCTTTAACTATACACTCAATTTAGCAAGAGCAGGCCACACAGCTAAAGGTCACCTTTCTTCCTTCCTTGTCATTTCAATCCCTGACCAGCCTTCATAGATGAGGAAGTTCTTTTCAACAGCTCTGGAAAGGGCAACGGCACACCAGGACACACTACATTAAGCCTGAAAGTCACAAAAGGATCAAGTCTGCATAATAAAGCCAAAATAAAGACCTGCCCTGGAGTTATGAGGTCTGACTGCCTTGGGCCAAACCAGCTATATCACTGTGGCTTTGTGACCCTAGTCACGTTATCTAACTTCTCTGCACCTCTTGTCTTTTCATTGCCCTGGTTGGGATAAGTGCCACAGCATCATTAAAAGCTTGTCTCCAGCCTGAAGCTCTATTGCAAGGCAGTGGAACCTTTGACCTTCAGCATAATGGGTGGAAGTTAGGTCACTGAAAGTGTGATCTTGAAGGTGATCCTGAGAGTCTAATCCCTTCTCTGTCCTTGGGTCTTAGTTGTTGTGAGTGAGTAGCTTCCTTCACACATTCCCTTCCTTAGTATGCTGCTCAGCCACAAATCCCAAAGCAGTTGGGCCACATGACTTGAACTCTGAGCCAAAACTCTCAAACTGTGTGCTATAATAGTTTTTCTTTTTAGTGGTACTTTGTTACAGTAATAGAAAGCTGATTGATAATCATTGGAGAATATTGAGTTGGTTCACATGATTAAATAACTTCATATAGCTAAAGCAGTTGTTTTCCAGTGGGGGCAAATTTGCCTGCTAGGAAGCATTGAGCATTCCTAGATACATTTTAATTTGTCCAGTTGGATCATGTATAGGGAAGCAGAGAGGCTAGAGAAGTTGACAAAGCCCCAACTAGGTATCTCTCACCACCAAGTAAAACCTCCAGTACCAGGAAGGATTACATCTTATTGAATTGTTGACCAAAGGAACTCCATGGTAACCCCTAAACAACCTAGGCTATTGCCAAGACCCTCCACAAATTGATGATAAGGCTCTATTTCTGTAGACAACTGTAACACAAATCTTAAATAGTCTTAGTAATAAAAAAAAAAAAACTGAAGCCAAATATTGAGGTGAAGGCTGAAAGATCAGAGAAACAGGACAAGCCACAGCCAACCTCACCTCGCCAACTCCTCAGCTGATCCTGTTTCCACAAATCCTCAGACTGAAAGCCTCTTGAGTCCTCACCTGGAAGGGACTCAGCTGAACTGCCTAAAAGCCTAGGAAATCCTCAGCCCAAGAGCCTCTGAGTCCTCACCTGAAAGGGTCTTAGTTGAACTGCTTAAAACCCTCTAGTTCCTAGTCCTCATGCCTTATATACCTTTATGCTTTCTGCCATCATTTTCTGGCGTTAAAAGTGTGTGTCCTTCCCAAGCAAAGACATGAGATCTCAAATGCTGGGATTAAAGGTGTGTGCCATCATGCCTGGCTCTGTTCCCAGTATGGCCTTGAACTTGCAGAAATTGGATTAAAGTGACAGGATTAAAGGTGTATGCCACCACTCTCTGGCCTCTATGTCTAATCTAGTGGCTATTCTGTTCTCTGACCCCAGATAAGTTTATTAAGGTACACAATATATCAACCACATAACTTACATAAATCATTAAACAGAGAAGTCAAGCTATTGCCTACCTAGAAGCCATCACTTTACTGACTAGTGTTCATGGTAATTAAATGTATTCTGCATGCTACCAGAGGAGAAATGTACACAAACCCAGCTACAAACCCTTCGGTCTACAATGTTGATGTACCTGCAAGATACACTGGTGTTTTAGTGGCACAAAGCTTATGAGAGTAACCAACTACTATCTGATTGGTTTTAAGGTCAGTTCCATAAGATGGAACCCATGCCTGACATTGCTTGTGTGGCCAAGAACATGAGACTAGAAAGGCCCTGGACCTAGGAGGAAACCAAATACTATAGCTCTGCTAAAAGAGCATAGCAATAAAATGACTTCTAAAGATATTCTGCTGTACTCAGACTAGTGGATTGTTCACCCATTATTAGAGAAGCTTTTACCTGCAGTAGATAAGAATGAATCCAAAGACCCACAACTAGACAAAGCAGAGAGTGAGAGACCTTGGAACACTCAGTCCTAAGTGGATGTCTCCATCAAATCCCTTCCTTCAGGGCTCATGGAACCATGTAGAAGAAGAGGTGGAAAAATGGTAAGAGCCAATGAAGATGGAAGACACCAAGGAAACAAAGTAGTCTCTACACAGCAAGACCAATGCACACAGGAGCTCACAGAGACTGCGGCAGCATGCATAGGGTTTGCACAGCACAGATACTGCGGCAGCATGCATAGGGTTTGCACAGCACAGATACTGCGGCAGCATGCATAGGGTTTACACAGTGCAGATACTGCGACAACATGCATAGGGTTTGCACAGGCCTAAGCCAGATAGGGTCCCAGTGCTGTGAGGGGAGCAGACACAAGCCCCCATCTCTAACCCAGATACTCTCCCGATTGATAGCCACTTGCAAGGGAAAACTTATTTTTCTTTAAAGGAGTCTCACTGGGTACAAAACACACTTAAGGGTAGGCTCCAAGCTCAGCAGTTAGATGACCAACACAAAACAAACTCAATGGTATTTTCGAAGGATTGTTTCTTTATTCTTTCAGGGGGTTTTGCTGTTGTTGTTTACCTCATAATGCTTTGTCTGGTCTCCCCACCCCTTACCCCTTTACAGGTCTTTGTTTACATAGTATGGTTTCTGATTTAGTGTCTTGTGGGATTTCTATGTGTGCCAATATGCCTCTGTCTAGATGTTTCTTGTGCTTTTTCTTTGACTCTGTTTTTTTTTCTATTAATTTGTTTTTATTTTATTTTATCTATTTCTTTTTTTTTTTTTGAGACCTTTGTTTAATAATGAGAGAGCAAGAAAAAGTGTAGATCAGATAGGAGCTGGAAGAGTTGAGGGAGGGGAAACCATAACCAGAATATATTGTATGAAAAAAATCTATTTTTAATAATAAAAACAAAGAAATGTCTGTTGTACCAAGGTTGAAAAGCCCTGACCTAAGTAAGTACTCGGCACATAACAAGTGTTCAGTTAAGTGTTAGCTGTCCTCATACAAAGGAGTACTGTACCTCAAAAAATTATGTCATAAAAATTTGGAGTTACTCGTCTTTCGGGTCTTGGCTCCAAGATGACCAAAAAAAGGAGAAACAATGGTCAGGCCAAAAAGGGCCGCAGCCATGTGCAGCCCATCCGCTGCACGAACTGCGCCCGGTGCGTGCCCAAAGACAAGGCCATTAAGAAGTTTGTCATTCAGAACATCGTGGAGGCCACCGCTGTCAGGGACATATCCGAAACCAGTGTCTTCGACACCTGTGTGCTTCCCAAGCTCTATGCCAAGCTGCATTACTGCATGAGCTGTGCTGTTCATAGCAAGGTAGTCAGGAATAGATCCCGTGAAGTCCACAAGGACCGGACACGCCCACCACGATTTAGACCTGCTGGTGCTGCACCGTGACCTCTACCAAAGCCCATGTAAAGAGATGGCTTCATAAAGACAGAAGAAAAAACACCTTCGAAAAATAAAATGGGGCTTACACTTTTTGAATGTGTCTGTGCCAGGTGTGAATTGTGTGTTATTTCATTTTCTGTGTGTGCTTCTGGAGACCGTAAGGCAGAACAAACCTGGTGTTGTTTTAGGCTCTGTGTACCTTATTTTTTGAGGTAGTCTGTGCAGGCTAGCCAGCTGGTGAGCTCCAGGGTCCTGTTTATGCATGAGCCAAATTCAACCTTTTTACGTGGGTTCTGGAGGATAAACTGAGTCAGCCAAGATTATCATACTCCTGGAAATGTAGGGAGGGCACTCACTGTGGCTTCCAGCCCTGCAGACTATAATTTGGTCATAGAATGCCAAATTTTGAGCCATCTTCCTTTTGAGACATGATCAGATGTTTTGCTGGCTTTGAACTTAGGTCCCTCTGCCTCTGAGTACTAAGATTAATAAAGATATATGTCAACCATAAAAAAAAATTGGAGTTACTCAAATGGTCATAGTATCATGTATGTTTTGGATTTGAAGTGATCCACTTTATGTGTAGACTTCATTACTTGCTTTTTCAGGATCCAATGAGAATGTCAAAAGTTTAGCTAAGAGATCAAGTCAGAACAGGCAACCTGGGACTCACATTGTTTGCTCTCAAGTGTTATAAGTGAAAAACTAGAATGTATATGTCCAACAGGCTGAATTAAACAACTATGTTGTATGTAATTAATATTTTCTAGAGTGTGAGAAACTAACATAGTAGAACAATCTATTTAGTGTGTACCACTCTGCTCATGCATGCAGAGAAGAACAGTGTACCAAGTCCAGGAACAGTGCATCCTTTATCACATTAAGCACCCAGTAAGTTTTAAAAAATAGTAGACAGAATACAGGAATGACTGCATGTGCAGTCAGCTGTGACACTTCCTCCAGTGCTACCTGAAGTCTCTCACTGTCAAGTACGTAATTGCTTGCATGTCACACCTTACCATGAGCAGAGTATTGGGTTGGAGGCAATTAGAGGTTGATATTCAGCTTCATCTCCTGCATTTTTTAAAGTTTCTTCTTTACATGGTGCTGCCTATCATATGTGAATAGTGTTGATAATTTTGCATGTAATTTCAGTCTGCTGACACAATTTGCTTTCAAAAATGCTTAGTAGAGCTCAAGGAAATCTTTTCTATCAAGATAGCAACATTTTGCTCAAATTTCCCATTAACTGCCCTGAATACACAGTTAGTGCTCATTTTCCAACAGTGGCATGCATTCATGAGGCACAGTGTGAGAAGTAGGGATTTGGTAGAGCAGAGAAAATTATAATCAATTCATTCATTTAACTGCATGTTGATGCACAGTAATGACAGGACTTTTCAAAGGCATTCCAACTGTTTGAGTAAATAGCGGTAGCTTTGGGACAGTGGGAAGAGCCTGGGCTTTAGAGGCATTAAAATTTTGCTAGGGTTTGGGATAAACTAATCTGTTTCATTGCACTTTCAAGAAGTTGGGGTGTCTGATATAATGACAGTTTCCATAATGTAGCATGTGTGCATAAAAACTAAATACCAGCTACATGCCATACAGTGTGTTACATGCAAGGGGTACAGCAGTGAGCAATGGAAGCAGATCTGTGGATAGCAGTTGATGCCAGTATTGGTAGAGCTATCCTCTGAAACAGGACCTTCTGGGGACCACCAAGCCTACGAAGTAGAGAAGATTATGGGTTCAGTGTTGGACATGTTACCACTGAGATTCTTAAGTGAAGCAAGTACTTGGATCTATAATAGGGAGGAACCACCAGGATAGATGCAGTTATTTCATGATTAACATGTGTTAGTCCTCCAAGTAATACCCATGCTGTGATTAGGGGAAACCAATCTAGAAGGTAGCCATGAATGTTCTTCAAGAATTGCCTGTTACCTATGCTTTTTGAACTACTAATTCTGTACTATGTATATTACTCCTTGTTCCTTTCAGTTCATGAAGTAATGATAAACTAGTAAGCTCTATTTATTTATGGCCCCAAAAGAAAAAAACAAGCTCAGTTGATCGTAGTTCCTTGGAGAATCTTAGATCATATGGTTGCTCCCTATACTTATTCACCTTTCTTCTGGCTGGGTGATGAGCGAGGAGAGCCAGCGTGCTTTCAGTGCTGTGTTTGCCCAGGCAGTAGCTAAGACCTACAAGACCTGCCCTTGCATAGTAGGAAAGGAATTAGACCAACCACTGATGAAAGAGGTATAGAAGAATTTGTAGATATACTGGGTTACTACATAGAGCATAGTATGCTGAAAATAGAAATGCATAAAGTAGTATGTGATCTCAAAATTGCAATTAGTATGGTGGAGGCAGCAGGTTCCCACCACAGTCACCAAGTGTTTTTGCCTCCCTGCTTCCCAAACACAGGATACAAGATCAGTGTAGGTAGAACACAGGAAGCAAGGACAGTGGGTGTCAGAAAAGGAATTAATGGTGCTAAGAGCAGGTTGTGGGGCATTTCATATCTTGGTTCCAGTTGTTTGAGTTGAAGGTGGAGAGCATTAGCAGAGGAGTCAGATATCATGCTTAGATTTTGAAAAGGATCACTACATGCTATAAAGAGAGCAATAAGCTTTAAAGAACCAAAAGAAACAGGAAAGACAGAGAAATATTGGTGGCTCAGATAAAAGTATCAGCAGGGACTGAGGTGAGATGTTGGATTCTGAACAAAATTTGAAAGAAATTTTGATGTAATGTGTTAAATAATTTGATGTTAATTGTGAAGGAAAAAGTAACTGGTAACTCCAAGTTTTTGGCTTGGTTGTCTGGAAAGACAGTTGATTGTCTGAGATGAGGAAGACTGAAGGACCAATTAAGATAGGTTAACTACAGTTTATATCTCCCAAAATCATGTGTTGAAACTCATCACCAATATGATGAATAAGGCTCAAAGAAAGCTTTCCTTTTATGATAGCAATGCTGCTCTCAGGTTTGCTGTTTCCCCGAATACACAGTGTTCATTTTCCAGCAGTGGCATGCATTCATGAGGCACAGTGTGAGAAGTAGGAATTTGGTAGAATACAGACAATTGTGTTAAATTCATTCATTTAACTGCATGTTGATTCAGAGTTCTGTTAAAAGAACTTAAATCATTCCTTTAGAAAATGATTAGTTGTTGAGTTTCTAGTGTCATGAATAGATTAGTGACCTTATAGAAAAGGAGTAAGGAGTTCCTCACTCCATTTTGACTTTCTATCCCTTGAACCTTGTAAGGACATAGCATTATCTCATTTGCCTTCTGCTACTTCTAGTATAGAGATTGTAAGTACTTTGTTTTGGAGGATGCAGCAATCCTGGAAGTAGAGAGCATCTCTCACCAAAGACCAAATCTGCTGGGACCTTGTATTGGACTTCCCAACCCCACAAATGGTGAGAAATAGACTGCTTTGTAACTACTCAGAGTCGGGTGTATTTTGTTGGAGCAGCACAAACGAATTTAACAGAATGTAAATGGAGCATCAAAACAAATTAGAAATTCAGAAGAGAAGCATAGAGGAGAGATAAACTGATGGAGTTACCATCACTTAAATGGAAATATGCAAGGAAAGTGTGTACATAAATGGCTGGCCCCTCTGATTAGAAAACAGCACCTATTTGCTAGGAAAGGTGGAGTGTGGTGCATAAATTCCAAGAGGTAAAACCCCTGCCCTCTTTGAAAGGAATCTGTGGTCATTCTTTGCCAGGGAAGATAGGACTTATCTACAATTGGAATTTTAAATATGAAAGTTTCAAGTATTAAGTTAATAAAAATAATGCTATAATTTCAAATAGTCCTAATGGAATAGAGACAAGGGAAAATGGCAGTGGGGGTATGAGTGGATCACATTCCTAGATACAGATCAGTGTCCACCATGCCCAGCCCAAGTGAGATGACTTCTAAATACTGAGTTCACTGATTAAATGTGCTAATTAAAGTTCAAATGATACGTACTACTGAGTATTTACATTTTTCTCATTCCTAAAGTATTAAAATATTGAATTTTAACATTAAATATAAAGTTTCCCTCTAGGTAGATTTACCATGGAATATTTTTATTACCAAACTCTTTTCTTCCCCTGGATGTACCCATATATTCCTGTTCTTTCTTCGGATCATGTGCTTATTAGAGCCTGCACTTCAAGTTGTGTTAGAAGTTTGAACTGGTAAACTGGAGAGCTTTAACAATGCCTGACATATTGCCTCCACATATACCCACACAAATGTGCTCACATACACATATGCATACATATATACTTCCTCCAACACACACAAAAAGAAAAAGTCTATGGCATCTCAATTCATCACATTCAAAACTGAAAGCAATCAAATATTCATAGAATGGATTTAAAAACCACCTCTTCTTACAAGACTGTTATATAAGTAAGTCTTCTAGACATTATACAGAAGTAAAATAAGCCAGAAACTGGACATTTTAATCTGTGGTCTTCCTCTAGGTGAAGTTCTTGGTGGTGGTGGTGGTGGTGGTGGTGGTGGTGGTGGTGGTGGTGGTGGTGGTATTGACTGGAATGGGATATGACAGCTTTCTGGACTGATACAAATATCATTTATCTATATGTAAGTGGTGGTACAATGGTGCCATTGAAAATTCAGTCGAACTATACATTTTAAATTTAAATATTCTGCATTGGACTTCAAAAAACCAACAAAAACCCTTAAATGTAGCAATAGTTCTGTGGTTGACACAATATTGAACCATCCTCTTGAGACAGTGAGGACCACGAAATTAGGGTAAAAAAAACAACAACAATAAAACTTTCCAATTTTTTTAAAAATATAAAATAAAGATAGAAAAGAATTTTGGAGGTGCCAATCTGTTTACACCAGGCCTTGTTTTTCCTTCTGCTGGAGATGGTCGTAGATCAGGCAAGCAGCTATAGCTGAAGCTTGTAGCCCTGCAGTGGATCTCAGCTGAACGTCAGTCTCAGTAAGGCATGGGCAGCAGACAGGGACCCTGTGGAAATTAGTTGTCATGGGAACTGACTTTCAGATGCTGACAGAGATGGGAAAAAACTGCATTCATTAAACATACTACT